CCGTGTATAATTACCTAAAAATAAGAATAGTTGTGTTTTTGTTACCCTAGAATGAGACGTTTTTATCTACAAAGGAAGCAGGTCCTCTTCTACGGAGTCTGCAATGTTGATCCACTATGTTTCTACAGTAGCCTAGATAGGACAAACCACTGGCTCTAGAGTCTGATTCTCGCCTTTTTCTCAAGTTTCGTAACCACCATAGTTTATCCTACACACTTAGAAGGCGAGTGGTATTCAGTTGGTTGCAATCTGTTACCCTGAACTTAAAAATAGTGGACTGGAGACTGTATGTTAAGTATTTTCATTTTATTTACTTACATATTTATATATCATATATTTATCTTATCTTATATCTTGTAACTTGTACCATGATCCAGTTGTGTTTATTTATTCTACTGTGATGTCCATGACATGCTGACTGACTGTGAGGGTGTGGCTGGGGGTTAAATGTGGTTGCTATAGGGTGCACTAGCCCTGGTTAAGCAGCATATCATGTTCCTGCAGCATCCCTGGTCCTCTGGTCATTGTCACCCTAAATATAACCTTAAAAGCTTTGACAGCTGCCTGTATTCATCTTGTCCATTCTCCTCCCAATCTCTTCCTTCAGAGGCCATGTCCAGCGCCGCCCTCTTCAACTGCCTCTATCTGGAGATCTCTGCCTCGTTGGACCACCGTACTCCAGAGCTCCTAGAGTGCGCAGTGCGGCTAGCCAGGGGCGATTCCCCCTGGCCCCCAGGAACCAGTGCGGAGGACATGAATTGGGGAGGCCAACGGGAGAGCATCACCTCCCGTGCCAAACGTTTCCTGTCCAGCCTGGTGCCCCGGTACCCGCGAGAGCGAGAGGCGGGCAAGTTCATGAGGCAGAAGTCCCGCTCGTGCCACGACCTGGGGGCACTGTGATGGTGCCGTCGCAGGGAGTTTAATGGTCAGATTGTTAACAGAGGTAGCTGGAAGTGATGTAGTATACCAACAGAGAGAGGAAGAGGGATGCAGCACAAAGATGTGAGCAACAGAGGAGGTGTGAAGGTGCCAGAGTGACGGCAGGACAATGTTGTGAATGATCATCGTGTGCATCCAGCAGAGGAAAACAGGGAGAATGACTACAATGTTAGTGATGATGTTTATCCATAGGATGATATAGAAATTTTGTACACAAGACTAAGAACAGAAGACGATAACATACTGTTGTAGAACACATGTAAATAAATTGTCGTAGTGATACATAACTGCCACCCTCACAGCATTGAGAGCGAAATAAATTGCTTCTATTGAGGTTGAATCGCTGCATGTTTGCTTTGTTATTGAACGAGTTGTCGCATGCAAAGAGGAAAACAGTAATCACATTTAACAACTGTTCAAGCCCAGGATAAAGTCATGATCACACACATCTAAAACTCATTAGTGGGTTAGACTTTGCTGATGATTCATGTTGTGTTCATTTACTCTCAGCTATTGTGGTATCCATGGGGATGGTAAGCAGTAAAATAGTGAAATGCCAACAAGGAGAGAAAGGGAATTAAAGAGATAAAAACCAGACTTACAGAGCTCCGCGTGGCAATAAGGGAAGGAGCAGAGAAGGAAAGCCAGATTATTGTATATAGAGTGATTGTTGCCATGTTACAGTTGTCAAGGAGACCCAGAATCACTGAGACCTATATGTCCATTTCAGCTCTGCAGCTATACCTCTACTGTCTGTGCTGCATATAGATGCAGAGATGGAAAGGCTGATTCCCATGCAGTAAACTGCATTTTTTTAACATAAAATTCAACTCCAAATTAAAATGCAGAGGATTTTGTCAGATATCAGCTTCTCGGCACTCATCTGTATCACTCGCTACCCTCAGCACTTCCATCCTCCCACTTCCACCCACACGTGAACAAAAAGATTTAGCACATCATAGGTCGTTATACCCATCATTTGTTATCAAAGGAAGAGCTGTGCTATAATAGAAGTAAAGATAAAATGGTGGCATGATATTCTGACTCATTCCCTTGGCTGCAAACTACTGGAACAGATTGAAAGGTTAAGATTTTGGATCGCTGACGTGGGACACAGGCTCCCTCTTGTGGATGAGTTGAGGCGCCACGACTGAGCAGAAGAAACATGAATATGGCTGAAATGGAAAATATAAGGGAAATATTTATGAAACTCTCCTAGTTCATAAGTTGCTGTCATTTTAACAGAGCACCCAATTCACTCAGAAGAAGTGCACCTGTCTCGCACTTGATGAGGGAAAGATTGTGAGACAGAGTCATGCTGAAGTCCTTTGGATTGTCATAATAGAAATAGGAGTAGACCGAATTTGCATGCACACTAGCAGGAGCCAGTGGGGGGTTTCAAGGGCTTAAACATCACTGAAAAGAGTTTCGATTGTCATCTGAATTTCTAAAACTGTGCAGTTCAAGTATGCATGTAAAATTCATTGAAACAGGATGCTATGAAAGACATTTCAGCTATAAAAATGGGTGCATCAGCTCTGTATGCAATACACATACAATGTGCACCTGAGCCACTAGCAGTCTATTCATTTCAAACCTTGGCCAACATTTAGCTGGATTTTAACTTGTTCTCTGTGTTTCTTGGAGTGACTCTGACTGCAAAATGAACTCAACTAAACTTGTCAATAGAATACCATCAGCTCATATCCTATTCACAATGATAAAATCACAGGCTGACCCCTCGCAAGAAAAAGGGCTATTTGACTTGGCCATATGTGTACATTTGAAACTGTTCCCTTATATTGCTTTGCATGCTTTTCATTATTTCATAATGACCTACATTATGTCCTATATTTTAAAGCCCTCCATATTTTACTTAAATTTTAAATTACTATTACTAAATTAATTTCTTTGGATCAAAAAACATCAGGAGCCCTTTTAAAAGCAACACCAGTAACCCTGGCCCAGTTATCTGTAATGATTCTGCTTACTGAGAAAATAGATGAGTGTTATCCAGAATTTCCTCCAACTCTACCAGAAAGTAAATAAGTGTATATCCCAAAATGTCTACTAAACTATTGCTTTAACTGAAAATGTGTTTGTTTCAGAGTTGGTGTGCAGACATTTTTAGCTGCCATAACAAGAAAAGCACAGGTGAAAGAAATGTTAACGTTGGCTCAGTTCCACTAAAGGTCCAGTGTGTAGGATTCAGTGGAATCTAGTGGCGAAGTTGCAAATTGCAGCAATTTGAATACAACAAAAACACAATTGTTATTTTCAGGTTATTGTACACTAATAAAAACATACCTACAAATAGTATATTAGATAATAGATCAACCTAAATGTTACACACTGGACATTTAAGTGTCCCAGTGAGCCATCTTGCACAATATTAGGACCCTTTGTTTTTAAATGTCCTCAATGACATCCGAGCTTTTCCTGCTACGACACGTCAAAATGTCTCCTGTGAAGAAGGTCTATAATGGGATTAAACAACCACAGACGTTATTAATTAAGAAGCTTTTAATGGAATGATTTATATGTGTGACAAAGTACACTGTTAGTGGGTTCTTATGGTAAACAAAGACATAACATTGACAGACAGTAGAGCCCTAAGAGAGCACACAAGGCTCAAAGGGAAGACACTTCAGAGGCTGCAGGCCTGTAACTTCTTGTCAGCCAGCTTCAGAGACACCCAGGTGTTGAGCATGGAGGCTCTCAGTTTGCACCACACCAGGTGATCGGTCAACCCGAAGATCTGCGCGGCAAACTGAGCGGCGGCCTCAGGGGAGAGGACTGTGGAGCAACCAAGACCTGCAGGAGAGAGGGAGGAACCCAAGCAGGCTCAGTCACCATGATGAATAAACTCACATGTGACTAACAATTTAAAGAGATAATACAGGAAGTGCTACGCTTACCGCTTGGCATACGGAGAGATGACCAGACATCTTGTGCACCCCAGTCTGGAGTGAGAGGTGGGCAGTTGATCACGGGATATGCCGTGTTTCCAGACATCACCGGACCAAGGCCGTTGCTTCTGCCGGCTACAGCCACAAACACAGTTGGTACGTCGTCACCTGAGGGGGAAGTACATACATATTATGACATAATACATAACTCAATCCTATCTTCTTTAGAAAGGGAGAAGAGAAAATAATTCCTCTTATGTCAAAGGAATACAAACCTTCATATTCTGCTTTGATGCGGAGTGTCTCATCTGGACCTTTGTGTGCCGAGGTGACTCTCAGGATGCACATAATCCCGTAGGAGGTACAGGCCTTCTTGATTTTTTCACAGTGAGCCATGTCCGAGGTGGAGCCCATCAAAACGACCACTCTGCCACTGGCCTGGGGCTCCAGAAGCAGCTAGAGACAATACACGGCGCTCATTAACTCCACACAAGTCTGTACGTCCACTGAAAGCCAGACTATGAAACTTAAAGCCCATACAAGGAACTTCCATTTTTCTTGAATCTGGCGGCCCCTGTGGACAAAAGCAGTAGTGTTTCTACCGTCTCATTTCATTGATTTCAAGGGGAATCAAGAATAACTATATAGTACCCAATTTTATTGCTGATGGCCTTGTTTTATTTATGCATGTCCTATGTAACCATTAGTATTAAATAGAGACGTCGATAAACTACTTGCAGAGCATTTAAGCTGAGCAATATCAAGCTAGATTTTACTTAAACATCAGCCTCCATAAGCTACTGTCAATACCAGACCAAATAAGTTGAATTGAGAGAGTATGTTAATTGCTCAAGAATTCAACTCTTCATTTAAAAAAAAAAAAATATAATAATAATAAGGGAATAAAAAGGAAAAAAAAGTCCCCTCAAAGTTTTACTGATCAAAGGAATGCTTTTAGTGATTAACGTCTGGGGGAGGTGGGGGAGGGTGCAGGTGTGTGGAGGTAAAGGGGGGAGTGACAGTCCAACCTGTAGGGTCAGGAGGGTCAGAGGTCACGAGGGAGGGAGGTGAAGAGGGAGCAGGGAGAGGTGGGAGGAGGGTGTTACCATTGCAAGTTGACAATATGTACACTGGAGGGTGAGGGGCGGGAGAGAGAGAGAGAGGGGGGGAGTCATTAGGGAGGAGGGACAAATACTGTATGAGAGAGTGAGGGGTTGAAAAAGAGAGTGGTGGACCTGCAGCGCTGTAGAAAGTAAGACAGACAGAGAGAAGCAGCAGAGACAAACAAACCACACTCAGCCAACCTGACAGTAACCTTCTCTAACAACACACACACACACACACACACTTAGACAAGCAGGTAGTCAGAGGAGCCGACCTGAAACTTATCAGACTCACTGATTCATACACTCTCTCACACACTGCCAGAAGAGCAGCAGCAGCAGCAGCATGTTTCAGTGGAGGCTCCCCAAGGCAGTGTGTGTGCTGTCGGCGTGTGTGTGTCTGGTTCTCGCATATGGGGAGGATGATATTGAGGTCAACTACGCCGACACCTACTACAATGAAATCACAGATGGAGACACGCCAGAACGTAAGTGTTAAACTGTGCATGCGTGTGTGTGTGCTGGAACCAAAGATTTATCTGATTAATATTCTCAGATGGCCGTGGTTGCAATTTAATTAAATTCTGGAGCGTGACATTGATTTGTTGTAGGATTCATGCATGGGGTTGTGTGAGAGGTGAGATGAGGACATTAGATTCATCGTCCCTGACATGCTCCTAAAAAAAGATGCACTTGGCACCAATCACAAATAAACAGTACTGTATGGAGGGGTCCAGTTAGCCCCCTCAGAGGTTGCAGCAAAAGACAGTTAGTGATTTTTTGTGATATTGGTGATTATGTTGCTGGTGTGCCTATCAGACTGTTAATTTTTACGTTCAATCTGGTAAGTTTTAAAAAGTTGAATGGAGAAAGTAAAAAAAAAAATAAGAAGAAAATAAATATTTTCTATAAAAATAGTAACTATACAAGAGCAATTAGCAGCTTCAAATACAATGTTAGACAAAGAAAGAGACAGCACAGTATGTACAGTATACAGACTGTTGGCAGAGACAGAGTTTGTGTATGAGACGAGCAGCATCAAAGAATGCTGAGCCAGAAAAGCAGAGGGCTTTTTCAGCTGCC